AAGAACAATAAGATAAGAGCAAGCAAAACGAGCTAATCTAATCTAGATAAGGCTGCTGTTGCCGAACTGGGTAGGATGAGCATCACTGAATCCTTGCTGCTGCTGGCGGTGGGCCCGGGGCCTGTTGCTGCCGGCGGCGATGGTACGTCTTCCCGAGGAAGGCGTCCATAACACATTTCAACTAGGAAATTGACTAAAAACAACTTATAGTAGCTTAAAAATCAGAGCAAGCCCACTGATAGAACCGCTCAAGCAAGGACTCCAACTACTAAAACAACTCTAAATAACCACTAGAAGTCCTATTAAAAATAAAAAACCAAAAATAATCCAAATATAGACTAAGGGGCTGTTTGATAACAGCGGTATTTGTTGAACTGAATGACTATTGCTTTGTCTCTTAGTGATAAAATAGTAATAAGGCCATTACCCAATGTTGGCCCCATCCATCTGGGATCTTGGGAGGGCTAGACTGGTATGGTCCTAACCTTTGGCATTTTTTTTGGCACGAAATAGCTGCCCTGAAACTCAAACCCACATTCTCACGCTTGCCAGCCCAAGATTTTACCATCATACCAAGTAATGGCCCCTAGTTGATAAAATAGTGATATAATACAACATTTAGAAGCATAGTAATCAACTCCACTTGTGAGCTTGTCTTACAGTGTTGTTCCAAAGCCCAGATAAGCAAGGAGGATTGTGTCAGGTTGTAATCAGCATTAAAACTTTTGCCAAACTCTTATTAATGTAATAATTTGGGAGAATAATATCAACCCAATATGTCATTCAGCCATTAAGGAGGCCACAATCTACTTAATGGCTTTTTCTCAAAAAAAAATCTACTTATGGCTTATTCACTAAAAGACAAAGAAACAGGCCATTCAGTTCAGCCACTTCAACCATTATCAAATAGTCCTTGAGAAAATAGAAAGATTCAAATCATGTCAAAGATGGACACCCTGTCAATAAAATGGTCATAACTCTCTGAAAACATATAAGTTTTACAAAATCTAGGTCTCACTGGATAAATAACTCAATAACCTATCAAATGACACCAAAATCACACAAAGCAGACAAATTTTGGCCCTTAAAGATAGGCTGAAAGAAAGTACATCTTAAACTTTTCAAAATTATAAGACCTATCAAGCGAGACCCTTCAAACTAGTTTAACCTTTTAATATGACTAACCCTATACTATGACAATAACAACTAACAAATTAGATAATAACCTTTAAAAAAAATTAAGTTGACCAAAAATCCCAATCACCCAAAAATTACAAATTGTCATTCATGTAAGAATTTGGTTTTTTTCTTCCATGGTTTCTTTCCTTGCTTCCATAGCCAAGAATTTCAAGTGATTTTACTACATGGTGAAAACTGCGTTATGAATGGGGGCATACAGCTAATGTAAAGTGGGGAAGTGAAAATGTGATCAATACAAAAGGCCCCGTAAATAATGGATGGTTCAGATCAGCTAGAAGATTCTTCCATGAGGTAGATCTGTAGGGTCATCAAGAAAGCTAACCTTCTTAACCAAACGAGGAAACCTTTTCCAAGCATTACTGATTACAAAGAAAGCAAGGGCTAGCATGATGGAAGTAAGTGAACACGGTGATCTTAAATCACAAAAGAGGAACACACTACACCTCACTAATCCCATGTATTTGCATAATGACTCCTGTTTATATTTTGTCCTTTTATGAATTAAGTGGCTCCATGGTTTTAGCATTACTCAAAAGAGAAAATTAAATAGTACAATATTACTGAAAATAATATTAAGAAGAAAAGCAACATATAATATCAAATTATCAATATGAATAATTCTGAAGCACTAGAGATTCCAAAGACTAGGGATGTAGTTGGATCATGAGTACACTCCACCAAATTCATAGATTTCAAATGAATGTCAACCTTCTTATCGGAAGGTTCAACAAAGTTAACACTTGTCAAAGAACCATTCGACCTAAAAGTTTAAGCTGTTAGGTCAGGTCCCTGAATAGGTTTCTATTCTCCAAGACACCCTTTCATGCGAAAGCCTAGTGGGCTTGAAGTGTGGAAAAGCACAGCTGCACCCATACCTTGTGCTGAAATTTAATTAATCATAATGGGAGCAGTGAGGATTGAACACTAGACCATTTGGTCAACCAAACTCTGATACAATGTCAAGGAACCATTCAACCTAAAATCTTAAGCTATTAGGTGAGGTCCCTGAATAGGTTTTTATTCTCTAACAGCACTCAAAAGACCACTCCTAAGAATGATGCTCCACGCAAATATGGATATCCCAAACCTACAATGTTCCTGTAATGTCACAGACCAACATGATCAGATCCTCAATTCACTACTTTTTGTTTAAGCTTCTCCTTCAGCAATTCAAGCAAGTAATTGCCAGGCGGAATAGCAATCAGGACATGTGCTGGATCTGGAAGCAATGAGAGGTAATAAGAGAGACATCAGAAATCAAAGAAGTCAGAGATGCATGGAGAAAAAGGGTTAATATTAGATTATTAATAGGTGGGAAAGTGCAGTGATCAATAGGAACAAGTGATGGAGAACATGATAATGTGTAGCCTGCACCAAGGAATGCTTAATATCAGAACAGAAAACAACTGAAACTCCTATTTCTCTGTATTCAGTAACTGGAAGTGAGGCAATTCCAGGTAATGTCCAAAAATTTTAGGTAGCAACGAAATCAACACTTTTGGTTGATATTATCATCAGTCAATAAAATACATTATTTTATTATATTCAGAGAATATCTGACTTCACAGCATCAGAATCACATCTCATGGTTCAAAAGAATATGTAATTATGGTGTTGTACAGACTTTAACAGGTCTAGGACTTCAGGGTCCATGCTATTAGGAAGAAATGGTGAAACACAGACCAAAAGTTCAGGCTTTCTGTAATACGGTTTCTAGGACACTCACATCATATTTGTTAATTTTTCAATTGTCAAGTTCAAATTTTCAGATGTCAGTATATGGGGACACAGCTGTAAATAGTTGCAATCCATAAAGTAGGATAATTTTCTGTGCTTATTATTGCTTTTCTCAGAAGACACCCATTCCAAAGAAGAGCTCCAACTTCCATGCAGTAAACTTTAATACATTAAGGTGGTGAGTAAGATCAACCTCTGATTTACTTTTCTCAATAATTGTAATCCTTGTAAACCATGAGAACGCATACCATGGAGCCAAAGCAAACAGTGCATGCTCATCTGCACCAGAGCCCACGACTCTTTGATAAAAAGTGCATTGGACTTCTTATCTTTGCAGTATGCAGCTTTCACTCTCCCATAAAATGTTGAAGCTGTATATCTAAGCTTAAAGATAGCTACCAGTAATCCTTACATGAGCAGAATCCCTCACGGAAATGGTGGAATCGACTTCGATCTCTAATAAACAATTCCCGATTATAAACCCCTGAAAGAACCTTTGCAAAGTTGTGGCAATCAACACAAATACGTAGATTCTTTGCCACTCTGATTGTTGTACCTGGTGGAGTTGCAAGAACTCCAAAAGCAATAGCCAACTTCTCACTGTGATAAGATAGGGCATATCCCTTCTCTTGGGCACCCAAATTGTGCAGCTCAGCTGACATGTCAGCAACATAACCTGCAAGTTTTAGTTGACTTCCAATCTCATTGAGCATTTCATAAATCTCCTCCTTCCATGGATGTGTATTGTCATCCACCACAAACTCATGAACTCTTCCATTCAATTCAATAGTGCTACAACCAGGTGTGGTTTGAATTCCTTTCTCCTTCATCAACCTCCTCACATCTGCCACCTTCCCCCAGTTACCAACCGAAGCATAGATGTTCAACAACAGAACATAATCCCCTGCTTCTTGTGCTTTCAACTCAATCAAGTGTCCGACAACACGCTCCCCAAGTGCAACATGGCCATGAATTCTGCAAGCTCCAAGTAGGGTCCTCCAAATTGTTGAATCTGCCTTAACCTCCATTGAATTTATAAGATGGTAGGCTTCATCAAGTAAACCTGCCCGACCTAAGAGATCAACCATGCATCCATAATGACGAATGTTCGGAATCAACCTGAACTCTGCCCTCATACGTTGAAAAAGACTTATACCTTCATCAACCAATCCACTATGGCTACAAGCTGAAAGAACCCCTGTAAAAGTCTGATCATCTGGGGGGACACCCATTCTCTGCATCTCATTGAATGCTTCAATAGCTTCCCTTCCATGTCCATTCATTGCCAAACCAGAAATCATGGCACTCCAAGTAACAACACTCTTCTTAGTCATCCCCTGGAACACCTGATAAGCCATATCCAAACACCCACATCGTGTATACATTGCCACAAGTGAGTTGCAAAGATTGAGAGTGCCACTGTAGCCACGTTCGTCAATGTAATTGTGAATTCTCTTACCAAAATCTAGCGCACCCAAGTGTGTGCAAGCCTGGAGGAGAAGTAAACAAGTGACATCATCCGGTTTGGATCCATATACTTCAGTCTGCATAACATCAAACACGGCGAGAGCATCTTTGGTCCGACCATTCAGAGCATAACAAGAAATCAAAACATTCCAAGCAACGGTATCTGGTTTAGGCATTTCATTGAACACATGATAGGCTTCATCGCTATTTCCACAAGATGCGTAGAAGCCCATCAAAGTAGTAAGTAGAAGACAATCAGAATGATGCCCATCTCGTAATATCCTGGCATGGATTTGTCTACCTCCAATTAGCGAAGGAATCCGAGTGCATGACTTCAGAACAAAGGAAGAAGACAATGGGTTTGGACGAATACCTACCCGTCGCATTTCTCTGTACAGGTAGAAGCCCTCCTCGGGAGAACCACTCTGCGAGTAAGCTCTGATCATGATGTTGTAGTGAGAAGCAGTAGGCCTGCGTATTTGAGAGAAAACTCGGCGAAAATAGTATATGTCACGAAACGGGGAGAAGGCAGCGGAGGACAAGAAGTTGGTTACGATAGTTGGTTCTTGAATGAGTAATGTACGGGTGATGTGAGCATGTATTTGAAGTAAATGGTCCTTGGTTGAGCATGACTTTATAATGGCTATAACAGGCTTAATTGTATGCTCAGAGCTACTGATGATATTTGATTGTTTTTGTTTTCTGTTTATTAGTAATGGCGTTGGCCGTTGTTGATTTTCAATTTGAAGGTTAAGGAATGGTGTTGTGGAGAAATGAAAATGGGCAAGATGGTGATGGACATCGCTGGTACTACCGAGCGAGGAACGGAACCGAAGAACTTTAGAAGATGTCATTACCAATCTACAGATTGGTTATTTGTGAAGGATGATAGCCATTTTGACCGTTGAAACGAGGGAACGTCGGAAACTATATGCAAAGCCAGACTAATATCTGTTTGTAATATGCTCACGGCCTTCTACTCACAGTCACTAACAGTTATTTGTGAATGGGGAAAGAGGGAAAATAAATGGATTAAATTTTGGGAATTGGGATAACGTGAAAAAAATTAGGTAAATTACAAAGACCCCTGTTGCAAAATACAAACTAACAATTTTTCCCTTCAACTTTCATTTGCGGCAAAGACCCCCTCTAATTCTATATTGCCTCGGTGACAAATCGCCTTCAAATTTCACTTTAACAAATACCCCTTATGAGTTTCGCCCGTTAATTTCGAAAAAAAAAATTCTTAGTCAGCTGTTTAATTTTTTTTTTAATTTCTAATTAAATTACCCTTTTCTTACTTATTTGAACGATTTATGATTTGATTATTTTTTTAAGTATAATATTAAAATCCGCTTAATTGTCCTAATAGATCCTTGTAAATTTTTAATTGGATTTAATATATATTTGTGGAGGTTTCTGTATGACAAATATAAATTTAAGATGAAGAGAGACATCCATATCATTGAAATGAAACAAGAACTTAAAGAAATTTGTTTTTTTTTATGTCAATAAAATGTACTGCTATTTTAGCTAATTTCATTTTAAAAAATAGAGGTATTTTTTTGTCAAATTAGAGTTTAAGAGAAAAGGACTACAAAAAGTAGGGCCGTTCACGGGTTGGGTTGGGTTGATTTAATAGATTTTTTTCAACCGACCCGACCTGGTCGGGTTACTTAAAGAGCAAACTAAAACCGACCTGTCATTAACCAAAACTAACCCAAACATGAAGGGTCGGTTTGGTCAGTTTGGCATTGTTTGTGAACAGCCCTAAATTTGGTGTAAAATTTTCTATTCAAAAAATGAAAACAATCCTAAAAACAAAAGTAATTCCCATTCAATTTTATTGTTCTTTAATGTTAAAAATAAGTAATTAACTAGAAAGAAAAAATTAGGATAGAGATTACCTAATTAGGGAAAGACTAGGAAACCAAAAATTAACTAACTCGGTTCGATTTTGATTTAACTGAACTGAATTATCAATTTATCCCTCTTCACAACCAAAAACCAACCGGTGGTGAAGAAAAACCAATTAAATCGGTTGGATTGGGCCAATTTGATCGATTTGACATTGTTTGTCAATAACCCTAACAAAAAGAAAATAAGAAAAATTTAATGCATTTTAAGAGATAATTGCAAAGTGAAAATTCAAATAAATTCTTATCGCAAATGAATACTAAAGGGATAATTGTCACTGACCCCCATAGTAGAAACTAGAAACTAGAAAGTCTTTGTCACAAAATGAAAATTTAAGAGAGAACCCATGCTTCTGCAGCTTAAAACCTCCTAATATTTATCTTGTTTGTTTGTTTCTTTTTCTTCTTATTTTAATGTGGTGTTCAATAGATGTTAGCATGAATTGATTGCCGCTTACTCATTCAAGTATCCGGCGTTCAGCCTGTATCCGGCGACCAGCCTGTATCCTACTTTCGGTAATTAACCTGTTCTTCTATCTCCTGCAAACAGCGATTAGCTGTTTTCTGTGTTTCCCAGCCTTGCTATGTTTTGGGTCTTTTTGGTTTATAATCTACAAGATGACAGAGGTGAGATGATGATGTTTGATGACTCCGGCAATCAACCTGTACTTCCGGAAATCAGCTTGTATTCTGGTCAACAGCAACCAGCTGTATTATTATGCGTTAGGTGATTAAAGATCATCATCAGGTTTTTCTCGTTATTATGGATCATCATTCAAATTGCTCGGTGTTTTAAGTTCTCAGTTCGGGAGCAAAAATCAAAGCAAGGGAAGCAATTTCGATCCGCTTCAGGTGAAAATTACAAGTGGGGAATCAAGAGTTGAAGCGCCTCAGGTCACTCGATCCCCAAACTGGAAGATGAACAGTATCACTCTAATGTGATTACACGTTACCAACATGCAGCACTTTCAGAAAACACATGGTCACCATGCAAGCTCCCACGTATCAGCTAGCATGGTAAAGCACGTGGCATTGAGCCTAGTCACTATTTGACAGGTATTCTAACTCTCTCAACAAATTTACAGCCTTCATTTGCACGAATTTTATTATTTCCATGAAAATATTGGCGTGGAATATTCGGGGTTGTAACAACCCATGTACAGGCACCTCAAAAGACTGATTAAAGCAAACAAGCCGGAGATAATCTTCATCTCTGAAACTAGGCTCAATACAGAGACAGAGAGAAGCCATAAGCTAGCTAAATATTTGAAATATAATAATTCTGCTCATGTCGAAGCAACAGGTCGATCTGGTGGCCTCTTATGTTGTTGGGACTCGCATATAAACATTCAGGTTTTGATGACCACAAATCATATTATCAAAGTGAGCGTTCTCGATCTTCCTACACATCAAACTTGGAAGATAGTTTTTCTATATGGTCATCCACACAGAGAAACACAGAAGATCTATCTATATGGGAATCTATACAAAACATGCATGATCTTCGAGGTGACCCATGGCTGTTAATTGGTGGCATGAATGCCCTTGTTTCTCTTCATGATTACAAATCTGGCCGAATTGGTAGAATAGCACCACAGTTATCCCAAGCCATGCAGAATACAATCGATTCATTTGCTCTTATAGACCTTGGTTTTATTGGCCCACCATATACATGGACAAATGGTCACGTATGACTGCTGAAAGACTGGACAAGGCTTTGGCTACACAATCATGGTTGCAGATCTTCCCTGACTCAAAAATCTTACATCTCCAGTTTAACCACTCCGACCATTGCCCTCTACTTCTCAACACTCGACCTTCTAAAGAAAACACCAAACCTCACTTTCGTTTTTTGCCCATTTGGGCAAATCATGAAGACTGCAAGGAAATTGTGGAATCAACCTGGGGGAAGCAGATCCCTGGTTCAAAAGCACGCCAAGTCACCGTTAAACTTAAGGAGTGCAAAAATATAAACTCAAGGAATGGAACAAGGAAGTCTTTGGAAGGGTGGATGAAAGGCTTCAACGGCTGCAACAAAAAATACATGATTTGCAATCTAATCTGAGAACTCAGCGCGACAAGGAAAACCTGCGAGTCCTATACAAGCAATATGATCATTGGCTAGAAAAGGAAGAGCTTCTTTGGCGAGTCAAGTCTGGAGAATTATGATTAAAAGCAGGGGATCGCAACACTAAATTTTTTCATCAAATGGCGAAGTACAAAAGGAGAACACAAGACATTGAGTGGATCTAAGGAAGGAACGGTGAGTGGCTAACCAATTGCAACGATATTGCATCTGTTATTGAAGAAGCAACCAAGCAAGTGGGTAATATAGATGAATCAAGTCAGTTTCATCAGCTCGACATTTTGGACTTCCCAAACTTACACTCAAGCACTATTTCAAATGCATGCACCCTCACAAGGCCGCTGGTCTTCCAACATTATTGGAGTCCTCTCAGAGCAGACATTGTCCAATTAGTATATGATTTTCTAGAGAGGCCGTCTGACTATAGGCCAATAAGTCTATGCAATAAAATCATTGGCAAATCGAATGAAGCCATTACTTCAGGAGCTAATTGCGCCAAATCGAGTTGGGTTCCTCAGAGAAGACAAAGTCACTCAAGAAATTCTTCATCAAGAACAAATAAGGGATGGGCTCTAATTAAGTTAGACATGTCCAAAGCCATTAACAAAATGGATCGGCTTTTCCTAGTTGAAGCACTAAAGATAGAAAAAAAAAAATGCCACTAAAGGCTATCGCGGCATTTTCAAATTATGCCACCAATACTCGAGGGCTGATTCGGTAAAAGTTTTAGTGGCGTTTATCCTATTTTTAGTGACACTTAAATAAATGCCAATAAAACTTACTTTCAATGATGTTTATCTAAATTTTAGTGGCACTTATATAAAGGCCGGTAAAACTATTTTTAGTGGCCATTTCAAATGCCATTTTTAAGTTTAATAATGGCATTTATTGGCACATTTAGTGGCAATTTGTAGTGCCACAGCTATAGTGGCAATTATAAGTGCCACTATAAGGGTACCATAAAAGCGGCATTTTTAAATGTCATAAAATATTTATCTGTATAATGGCATTTATAATTGTCACTAAAAAGTTTTAACCATTCTATTCATTTAGGATTTAGTGGCATTTATAATTGCCATTAAATGTCTAAACATATTCATACATGCATGCTAAAAAAATAATAAAAATGAAGCAACAAAAAAAGATGTTGCTTATTATATAATGGTAATTGGACCTATGCCCTTTAAATCAAATGCATATTATTTATTTAATTAAAAAATCAAATAATTATGAAATTTAACCAAATAAATCATTTCCATATAAAACAAATTTATCTTAAAATGTTTATATATACAACTGTCAATTTCAAATCATAGATCCATAATGGATAGTCCAAAAACCAACAAAAAATATAACAAAAAAATCATTTTGCTCTATGATGTCTAAAATCTTCATCAAAATCCAAAGTATACATCTTCAATACCCTCCGTGTTAACAATTTCTTGAAAAAACAAATACATCTTGTTAATAAAAACTAGATATAATATTATATCTTTGGATCTAATAATAGATGGCTTAGAGATAGATAGACCGTTTGGCAAACATGTTTATCGGTTCTTCTTACATACAAGTTAATATTAGGTATGGGACCTAATACCATATTCAAATATGCAGATATTATTTGTGGGTCCTACTTGCATCCTTCCATGTATGCCCTTCCTCTTTCTGTTTATAATGCAAGTTATCTTAAAAAAAAAATAAACACTTATTGCGGTTGTTAGAATCCAATCTTAAAAAAAATAATAATAAATAGAATATCATCGAGAGCAACATAATTATCGAGCTATTCCTTTTGGCATTTGCTTTTCTGCCTTTTGGCCTCTGTTTATACAATAACGGACCAACACTAGGTAATGGTCTTTTGGCCTTACAGAGAAGACAGAAGGTCAAGGGCAATGTAGCAAATTAGCATTGGTGGAGGTTCCATGAAGCCAAGAAAATCATAGGGACTTTTCTTTTTCTTTTCCTCTCTCTCTCTCTCTCTCTCTCACACACACACTTTTGTGATACTAAATACTATGTACAAACTACAGAGTAAGTCCACATGTTACCAAGTGCCAATAAGATGCCATCTCTCTAGTAAAGTGGTATCAAAGTTGTTCTTGTACACCAGATCAAACTAGGAGGCATGGTGACTGTGGTGAGCCAGCAGATCAAGTTCCAATTTCACTCAGTTTTTAAGAAAACCATTTAGAGGAAAGCCTGCTGGCTCTTGGCAAACCTACTAAAGATTATGGCAGTGTAAGCAGTTCAAATAATGCTCCCCTTATGATTGATTGATATGAACACGATATGGGTCATCAATCAGAATTTGTTTCAAGCTTACCCTTCCTTAATCAGTCAACCCTGAAATTTCTACGAGGGTCTCAATAAAATGTTTTTCCCTCGATTGTGGTTGAACGGTTCCTTGCAACCATGCATTCTTTGCAATTCTGAAACCACCTTATCATGCATTCTTTGCAATCATGAGGTTGAACGGTTCCTTAATCAGTCAACCCTGAAACCACCTACTTCTTCACTGAACCTACTACAGATAGACACCCTACTCAACCCACCAGCATTGTGGTTGGACACAATTCTGATATAAATTTAAACCAACATAAATGTCTAACAGAAAATTAATTAAGATCAAACTCGACCGACCCAGTATTTAGGGCTGTTGAGCTAATTTATATGGTTATAATGCAAGGAGCAATGCATGGCTAAATAATTAATAAATATACCAGATTTGTTGACCTCCTGGTGTGAGGGTACCCTTTGTATTTTAACCTGTTCGACCAAACTCCTTATCCAAGTCTTTATTCAAAGAGTACTAGATGCAATTGCTCTACGCCTCTAGCTCTACCTCACTTGAAAGGAATTAAAAACATATGAGCTATTTATCTTATTGACAGAGGACAATTGTTAATGGAGAATACTGTTGTAAACCAGTACAATGACCACCATCCCTAAAAGCCAGCTGCACCTGAGATGTTAAATACATGTGATCAAATAAATCAAATCAAAACCTCTCCTAACAGCTAAAACTGACAAGAGAGTCTTTTCTTTAGGAATTGCCTTGCTCAACTGGTGCACCCCACCACACCCTCCACTTGATACTACCAAAATGTGAATTATGCTAACATTCAAATTAATGCCTTAAATGGTTTCAAACTAGCCATGTCTACAAATAGCACAAGGCAGCAGTTTGCCTCTCTCACCACACTCTCCTGCACTCATCATCAACTATCCCAGCATCTACAGTCTCAGTTGTGCAGTTTCATGGAAGTGCAGATTATTTCTTGATGAGGGACTAACTACTTTGATACCAAGTAATGCAGGATTGATCTGCAAAATAAGAAAAATAAAATAAGACTAGGAATCAGCAGCACCTAGGCTTCTCTAGGAGTCGGTACTTGGAGATACTATTACGAATCATCAATTAATAGCTTCTAGAAGGAATCAGTACCATCAAGAAAACTAGACTTACTCGCAATGTTGAATGTAAAGAATTTAAATGTTATAATCTAATGCCAAAAAGAGAGGGCCTTATATATATATTTATAGGCAAAGACAGGAAGGTTGTCTAGTCCTTCTCCCTTATTTTCCTACTCCAAAATCAACTAAGAAATGCTACTAAGGCACTAACTAGGAATAGAACCAACCCTAGTTGGCCAAGGACTGGGGCTTTGACTTAAGACAAATCCTAGTTGGCTTAGGACTAGGAATAAAACAAATCCAGCTTGAATTGTGACCATGATCATGACCTACTAACATAACTCTGACTGACTGTTTACCCCCAAAAAAAATATAAGAATTCAGACTGACTAAAATAACTCTGAACCAGTTAGGAAAACTATTAATGACTCGAAAAAAAACTTCAAAACATTTACAGCAATAATCCCACTACCCATCAATTTATATTTAGAAAATCTCAGATCTGACATCTCAGCTCCTATATCACTTTCTTTCAGAAAAAAAAAAAAAAATATATATATATATATATATATAAATAAATAATTATCAATATTTTTGGCACATATGAATATGAAGAATTAATGACTTAAAAGAATACACCACTCGATGGATTGCATGTACCATCTTTTAAGTCATTAATTTTTCTTTCTTTTAGTTAAAAAAAAAAAAAAAAACTAATTCAGAATCCCTTTTCTGTTGGAAAATAACCATACATGCATTTCAAAACAGGTACCGGTATTGTTTTTCACAAAAAAGAAAGAGATTTAAAACAAAAAACATGATTTTCAAATCAGAGGTTCAAGTTTTAGAAACAAAACAAAAAATTAAAAAGATAAAAAACATTTACAATCAATTTCCATTTTGTGTGAAAGAAAGAATTTGATTTCAAACAGTATGGGTTTTAATTTGTATTTGAAACAATTGAAGAACACGCCCATGCCTATGGTGACTGGGGATTTGTGTTCTTTTTGGTAGCTGGCAAAAAAGAAAAAAGTAGAAACAGTGATTTACTTTTCTGTCTGATTTCTTATCGTTATTCGCAAAGGGCCTGCCGAGAGCGAGTTCATATCTATTTGGAGGATCGTGATAAAAGAGAATATTCAGGCCCACTGGCTACTAGTCAGTTATTCACCACCCGCCAATAGTAATTTCCTTTTCTGTCATTTTTATATTGTCTTTTCTATAGCCAACAAAGGTTTATAGGAATAGTTTTCTTTTTGTTCTCTTGCTTTGACTGGATTTCATCCTCATAATAGGCGAGAGCCGATAGTATCAACTCTGTTGATCTAATGAATTAGTTTTGTTTCATGATTCAAAAGAAAAACCCAATAAACCACTAAAACCACCTGAGTGATTTGTTTTTGAGTACAGAGTTAGCAGCCTAACATTTTCGTGTTTTATTGAGTGGTGACAAGATAGTCACAGAAGATGAGAACTCTCTGACCATTGGTGTATGGTCTTGCAGATAAGGGTAATTTTTTGTCCTGAATATCAAATAATATTTTTATAAAATAAGATAAATTATTTAAAAATATATATATATATCAAAAAAAGATAATGATACTATTCATTGTCTTCCTTTGCCCTTCCTTCCTTCTTTGCTCTCTCGCACGAAACCAGCAGAGCCCTTAGAATCGACATTCCCGATGGTTTTAGGGGTTTTATCAGGGATTGCGGGGAGGGGGAGGGGGGACATGACCCCCTCTACAAATGCAAGGTCCGTCCGCCAGTCTACCAGTCTGCCGTACCGTGCATATCCAACAGCCGTGATTTGTGAGACTCTAAACGATAAAAGGAAAGCAAATAAAATAAAAATAAACGGAGGTAAGGAGTAAGGACTGACTGAGGAATGGGGAGATGTCATCACGTCATGTCCTCCTGGCAATGGTTTTAGAAATGATCTCATGTCATCATATCATATCCAACCCCCTCATGTCATCATGTCATCATTTTGGAAGCCCAAAATGATCTCCGACGATGTGGTCGGTTTCGCTGATGAGGGTGGTAACAGTAGCGGCAACGCATACGAAGAGGAGGTAGAGTAAGGGGAGACGGAGAGTTGAAACCGGCATATTCACTTCTCTCTTACCTTTTTGGGAAAACGGAGTCTGCCAGACCTTCTTCAGTTGTGGGATTCTAGCAGATAAGGGAGAATGAATACAGACGCAGAGGAAGACGATGAACCGTTTCATTTCCCTTCTTTGATATTTAAAAAATATATATATATACCTTATTTTTATTATTTTATAAAATATTATGTTTTATTGATATTCAAAACAAAAAGTTGCCATTATCTACTATAACCCCTTTAATTTATCTGAAATTCCAATTCGTACACTGTTTCAGAGAGAATTACTTATTGGGATGTGTTTGTGTTTCAGGATGAAAAGACAGAGACAATACAGATTATTTCGGATATACTATCAAAGAAAACGCTACTAGGGGTACCCACAAAGCACTTCTGGGTAGCAGATCCAGACTGGAACGATTTTGGTGTTATATGGAGTTTGTAGTTTCTAAGGGATACTTGAGTGATTTGACCACACTGTAGGATACTATTGTCTCGGGTTCGGAGCCCGTAAACATCTCACTTCACACCTTCTAATTCAGATTTTAGGGGCCACGAGGCAGTCTGTGTGTGTGCATGATCAGAGGTTTATGTAACCATGATGATGAGCTTGTTAGCTGTTACATTAATTTAATCATTTAGCCAATAATACATTACAGCCAACATCTAAATATAAGATAAACGTGGAAAGGAATCTCAAAGAAAACCGACCAACTCTTTTTTCTTTTTTTCTTTCTTCTTCTTCTTCTTCTCCTGCACTTTGAGTGGAATGGACATCTACTCATCATCTGCAAGACAAAATGAAGGAGATGCTCTCCCCTACCTCAACAAGCCACTCCTCTCACACCAAGACCTTGAACATTCCAGGACAGTGGAAAGCCAGAACCACCTGCAATCACAGACTGGAACCACATTCCTCAGGACTTGCTTCAATGGAGTAAATGCCTTGTCAGGTCTCTCTCTCTCTCTCTCTCTGATTTGGAGTGTCATTTAATTATCCATAGGAAGTATATTTTTTGGGAATTATAAATTTTTAATCACCTATTATAGACGTGTTTGACTTGCTATGAAAACGCTTTCTAGATTAATTAAAAAAAAAACATCTATTAATGGAGATGCTTTTGGTGCTGTTGTTTATCTTTTCCCGTACCGAACGAACTATTACAGGTCCTCCATAACTTGAACTAGCCATTGGAGTGGAGTTTCCAATGTATATGAGAAATATAGAGAGAGTATGAAGAGTAAACAGAACCATAGAGATAGAGTGTTTCATGAGAGATTGATGTCCAGTCAGTGTCCAATAACCTCTGGGCTTCATAGCGTCGTTTACCATGATGCGTTGTGTGTTAGACCCAAATTGGAATCCAAATGGTTCATTTCCATAATCTGTTTGGTTCAGATAGTAATAAGAATGTGAATTTCATTCTTGAGAGAGGCTTAGGAAATGGCCATTCTCTCAAATAGGAGAATCCCGTTCGAACAAGAACGAAAATAAGATTCTGATTCTGCCCAACTAAACAGTTGGAATCTGAATAATCAACTATGTTTCCAATTCCAAACCCTATTCCCACGAACCAAACGTGGCTTAGTTTTTAATTAAGTGGAGTTCTTGAGAAATTATTCCCCAGTACATGACTGATTCATCAATTGGATTTTGGGAATTGAGCTTAAACAGGATCAATGTGTCATGCGTGCATGCTGTTCCTTTTAGCTAAATTCGAGTTTTACAAGAAATTCTATTTCTTCGTTTTCGATCTAAAATCTTATAAACATGCGATTTTGTTAAGAAAAACGTTGAGAGTTGATAGATGTATGGGTTACATATCCGAGCTTCTCTTAGCTTTATACTTGGGCCAACCAGTTATAGTCGCGCTCAGGATCATAAGAACCTCAGCCCTCAGGTGCGGTGGCGCCCTCAGTGACTCGGTCTCGGTAAGTCAGCTGGCCATGTTATTTTCGAAACTTGGCTAGCTAGTCTCATTGAGGCCCAGATACGGTTAATATTCTTTGGACTGGAAAGAATAACAAAATATAGGAAATCTGATTTGGTTCTCACAAAATTATGCTTACATCCTTCTCTCAGCCCTGCATTGGGAATATTTCCCCATGATGTTCCCAATGCACGGCTGAAAATGGCAAATAATGCGAGCACAATTTCGTGAGGACTGAATCCGCCCTCAAAATATAGTGAAAAGACAAAGAAACTAACCCTCTTTGTTTTGTTTACAATGATAAAAATCAGTAGTGATATTTTCTCTCCTAAATTACTTATTTTTTGACGCTCCCACTTATGAAAAATGGAATGCCGGTGGTGGAAGAATCTTGTTTTCAAGAATCAAGAACCACCATTGATTTTTTTTTTTTTCTTGTAAAATACCATCGAGAATTTCGTGAACTTAATTTTAGCCCAATGAAATCTTCTCAAATGTTTTAAACATGTATATATATATATATTAGAAAGCCATTTCAATTAACAAAACCCCTATCCGAGGTTAAAACATGGCAGCTGATGTGGGCTGCAGGATTCTAACACACGGCCAGTCCATCATTAGATAGATCTCCTATCAAAGAACGATTTGCAGAAATTTTTCTTAAGGCTGTGTTTGGAAACAATGTAAATATGTAGAGTGTAAAACTGTTCATATAAATTGTAAACTTGGGTTAGTTTTGCACTGACAAATTTACCTTCTTACCTTTGATGATTCAGAAGCAAATTAAATAAGCTCAATTAGAAGACTGTATTTGTATGTAGTGTACTCTGTATGTATGGCGATTAAGTGCAAAATAACCTCAATCTCAATGTTGTGTTTCTCAGGAGTTGGAATATTATCAATTCCATATGCACTTGCTGAAGGAGGGTGGCTTAGCTTGCTACTTCTTTTCTTGATGTCGATCATTTGTTTCTACACTGCAATTCTTTTAAGGAGGTGTATAGACGCCCACCCACATATCAAAACCTATTCCGATATAGGTGAACTTGCTTTTGGCCATAAAGGAAGAACCATGGTAGCGCTTTTCATATATCTTGAGCTGTATCTCGTTGCCATAGAATTTTTAATATTGGAAGGTGATAACTTGGAGAAGTTGTTTCCAACTACAAGTTTTAGAGTTGCAGGACTGAATATTGGTGGGAAACAAGGTTTTATTGTGCTTGCTGCCCTTATAATTTTGCCAACGACCTGGTTAAGAAGTTTGGGCATGCTTGCCTATGTTTCTGCTGCTGGTGTCTTCGCTTCTATTGCTGTGGTGTTTTCTGTGTTTTGGGCTGGTGCAGTGGATGGCATTGGATTCCATGAAAGAGGAAAGTTCTTGAATTGGGCTGGAATGCCTACTGCTATCAGCTTATATGCATTTTGTTATTGTGGCCATGCAGTGTTTCCCACTCTATGTTCTTCTATGAAAGATAGGAACCAGTTCTCCAAGGTAATCAATTGCAACCTAATGTTCTCATCAGTTTGTTCAATTCTGAGCCATATTAAGCAAAATGCATTTGAAATTTTAGATTCAATTGATTTTAACTCCATCTTCTATTTCCTGGACATAAATCTATTTTTCCTTGCCTTATCACTACTTGCAGGTGTTGTTAGTCTGCTTTGTCATTTGCACCCTCAACTATGGATCAATGGCTGTTTTGGGCTACCTGATGTATGGAGAAGGTGTTAAGTCCCAGGTGACATTAAACCTTCCCGTTGGAAAAGTTAGCTCACATATAGCAATTTTTACTACACTAATCAATCCTTTCACCAAGTATGCAATTATGGTTACTCCTATTGTAATTGCAATTGAAGATTTGTTTCCATGCCGTAACAAGTCTATTAGCATCCTTATTAGAACAGTGTTGTTGATCAGTAATGTTGTTGTGGCATTGACAATTCCATTTTTCGGGTACCTAATGGCATTTATTGGTGCATTTCTTAGTGTCATGGTTTCGCTTCTGCTGCCATGCCTGTGCTACCTCAAGATTTCCAAGGCTTCTCGGAGTCCTGGACTTGAATTGGTCATTATTGTTGGAATTTTGGTATTGGGATCTCTGGTTGCGGTCTTGGGGACTTACATTTCTCTCAGTGAGATTGTAAACCATTTGCTAGCTTAACTTCCTATGGACCATATGAACAGACGACAGCAGCCAGCCATATTTTCAAAATCTATGTATGTTTTGTTTTCATAGATAAATAAGACAGTAACTTGTTTATGAACAATCTTTATTCCCGTGGAAATGTTCTTGGTCTTGTAGCAATGCCACATCAAACAGCATAAGTAGATTCGGTATCAATAGATTATAGATCACATACCTATTTCTTGACTCAGGATTCAAATTTTAGACAAGGGGAAATAACAGGCATTACTTGTGGAAATAAAGAACTTATGGAATAAGAGAATGTGTATGCAGCAGTTATAGAATTCACTCTATTCAGGGAAAATCAAATGAAAACACAGAGAACACATAAGAAAAGGAAAAGAAAAACTAGACTCCTAGTATACAATAAAGAACTTATCGAATATGGGATAACAAGTTTTCAGCATTCATGTGTATTTGTCATGGAGTCATAGTACTAAATCTTGGGATCATGATAAACTATGCAGACTGGAAATGCGTCTTGAAGACTGAAACCAAAATTCCAAATGATACACAGCAGGAAAATTCTTATTCATGGTTAATCGCCATCATATTTAAGTTCAACCCATCTAAAAAGTTGTAGATGATCTCACAATCAACTAAGGAATCATCACCTGAAAAGAATCTATGAGAATGCCCACCGATCTCAATGCAACTCTCTCCAGCCATCTTCTTCTGCCCTTCCTCTCTCATCACCCTCCGCATATTTGCTGCTTCCTCCCACAACCCGACCTCTGCATACATGTTGGCAACCATCACAAGATTCCCACTTCTTGTTGGCTCCAAATGAAGTAACTTGTTCCTGACCTTCTCTCTAATACCACTGTTGCCATCAGCATCATGGATGCTGCATGCACTGAGTAACGTCCTCCATACAACTGGATCAGGTTCAGTGGGCATGTCGAAAATGAATTTATAAGCCTCTTTAAGACGACCTGCACGACTCAATATATCCACCATGGCTCCATAATGTGTCATCCTAGGTTTTATGCCATGCACATGTGTCATGTCATGGAAGAACTGATAACCCTCATCAACCAAACCTGCATGGCTACACGCACAGAGGACCCCGAGAAAAGTGACATGATTAGGCTGAACCGAACAGTTTTTCATCTCGAGGAAGAGATCAAGGGCTTCCCTAGCCAGCCCATGCTGGGCTAACCCCAAAATCATTGCACTCCACGTCCAAACATTTCTCTCGCGCATTCTATCAAAAATCATTCTGGCACAACCGACAGCACCACACTTGGCATACATATCAACAAGGGCTGTACCCAATCGACAATTTATGACCAAACCTTTTTCTATAACTTGACAATGGGCCCATCTCCCTAAGCTCAGGTTCCCAAGCTCAGAACAAGCAGAGATCAAGACCACCATGGAGGCCTCATCCGGCTCATACCCACAAAATATCATCTCAGTGAAGAGCCTAACTGAATCATCTAACAGCGACTTCCCGACATAAGCAGTGATGATGGCATTCCATGATACCAAAGTCCTAAAAAACATTGTATCAAACACGCGACGTGCATCAGAAATTTCCCCGCAGGATCCATAGAGATGAATCAAGGTATTCTGGACATAAATATCCGAATCAACACCATGCTTCACGGCATCTGCCTGTATTTGTCTTCCTTCTTGAAGAGCCGATAGATGAGCGCACGCCTTGAGAAGAAAGGGGAAGGTGAGCTTATTGGGCTTTACTCCACGACTCCGCATCTCAAGGAAAACGGCTATGGCTTCTCTCGGCAAATCATTAAGCGCATAACCCCTAATAACAATATTCCACGAAGAGGTTATACGATCAAGGGCGTGATAGAGAACGGATCGCGCATATTCCAAGTCTCCGGAGGGCGACGACAAGGCACAAAAACGCAGGACGTGGCTCATGACATACCCATCTCTGCCAAGGCCATAAGTCTGAATTTGAGCATGAATTTGGTTGAGAACCTTGATGGAGGAACAATCCTTGAGAAGAGAAAGGAATTGCTCCTTTCGGGAGACAAAATTCAAATTTCCGTTTGAGTTCTTGGGCGGGTAACATAGACATACGGTTGGTCTAGCAAATCGATGCATGCAATTGGCTAAGTGGGATCAATCGAAGGTCATCCAATTCAACTCAAACTAACTTAACATTCAAAATCCACCGTAGCTCCGCTACTTGTATAGCCATTGGACCGCCCTTGGATCAATAATCACGGTTAGCTCTCACTAAAACCCTATGGAGGCCCTACATGTGAAGGACCTTCTGGCCCTCTTTGGTGACATGTCTAGACAGCAAGTCAATTTCACCAAGTCTTCCTTATTATTTAGTAAAAACACTCACCATAGGATGCGTTGCCAAACATGGTATTAACTATTGATTATGGACTCTAAAGAAAATTACCTTGGGTTGTCATCTATTGGAATTGATACTAGTAAGGAAGATGGGCGAATGGTGATTGAGAAAATTAAGTCATGGTTTCGAGGTTGGAAGGTCCAATACCTCTCACATGCAGGAAAAATTGTTCTATTAAAAAGTATTGTTGCTGCCATCCCATCTTCATCACATGGCCACTAAATTATTTGATAAACAAACATGCACTATGATTAACGCTCTGAAGCGGAACTTTTGGTGGGGAGACGAGGACAACAAGAGAAAAATACACTTGTATTAACAAACTGGAATCTTATGACAAAAGCGAAGGAAGAGGGTGGGCTTGGCCTTAAAAATGTCTTACTACAAAATAGAGCTTTACTTATGAGGTTATGTTGGAGATTCTTAAAGACTAATGCTTTATGGGCCCAAATCTTAAGGGCTAAATATCTCAGCTCTGGTGGTACATTCTGGACTGCAAAATACAAGAAAAATGCTTCATTAGTATGGCACCGCATGGTAAAATGTCGACATGATTTGCCTATGGGGGCCCTTTGGGTAGTAGGTAATAGATGGAGCATTGATACACAGTCTGATACATGGATACCAAGTTTTTCAAATTCAGTAATGGGTGCAATCCAGGCTCATATAATACCCATTTTACCAAGGTAGCCCACCTAATAGATACACACACTCATGAGTGGAGAGATGATGTATTGGAACAATATTATACAGAAGCTGAAATCAATGCTATTAAACAGATTCGCCTCCCACAGAGAGGATTGTTTAGTGTGGACCAAAAGAGCCTCGACAGATTTAACCACCACTGCAGCCTATGGAGCGTTACATCTTCAAGAAGGTCAGGCCTCCACTGCTCTACCTGCTTTTGGAAATATCACTTGGAAACAATTTTGACATAGCAAACATCTACTACCTCGTGTACATTTATTTATTTGGCGTGGGATTCATAACTTGCTACCGCTGAGAACTGCACTGGCAAAAAAATCACACCGAGTAGATAATTGTTGTCCATTTTGTGGTTTACATGAAGAAACCATTACTCACCTCTTTTCTCAGTGTAGCGTCTCTCGTGCATTGTGGTTTGGTTCTTCTATTGGTTTACATATTGATGAGAACGGTGGCCGTTTTTTCATGACTGGTGTGCGGTGTGGGCTCAACAAGAAGATGTGTTTAATTCCTCAACATTTTCTTTTTTTACTAAATGTGATAGCGCATTTGGAAATGCAGGTGCAAGGCTGCATTGGCTAATTGGGTGGTTAGTATTCCATTTATCATTAATCAGGCCCATGCACAAATTAAAGAGCAAATTCAACAAATGAATCAAAGTAATTCCAATCCATTAACTGTGTAGTCTCTAGCCAATGACCGTAACAGATGTTGGACAAGGCCATCTATGGGCATGTTTAAACTAAATTTTGATGGTGTTACAGGATATGCTAATTCTGGAGTAGGTTTTCTTATACGCGATCCTAATGGTGCCTTTGTGTTTGGAAGAACAATGAAAATAGCACCATGCTCCGCTGCTGAAACAGAGGTTTTGACATTACTTAAAGCTTTAAAATTAATCATAGAACTTGGGTTGAATTTGGTCCAAATTGAGAGGGACGCACTTCAAAGTGTTCAAGCTTTGTTGGAGACTGACAAATCTCCTCTTTGGCGACTACAAAATGTTGTTGCTGATTGCAGAGCTTACTTGAAGCAAACCTCTCAGTGCTCAGTTCATTATGCTCCTAGGTCTACTAATTCTGCTGCTCATTGTATAGCTCTTTTGCTTTATCTGTTTCTCAAACTCAGACCTTGACTCTATGTGCTTTTTTTCTACTCTTGTAACAAAGCATATGACTAATGAATTTACCTCATCAGGCTTCAAAAAAAAAAAAAAAAAAGGATTTCACTAAGAAAAACTTACAATCAATTAATCGATGAGGTGGGTGTCTAAGGGGATGATTAGTCAAAGGTTCAAAGCCCTCCTAGTATGATGTATTTTCATCACCATAGATTATTCCTGTTTATATACAAACCCATTTGGTTGTCCAAATATCCCCATATATCCCATAATTTTGAAAACCCCTGATACAAAATTGTGTTTTCTAACCTTTTTCCAAGTATGGCTTCGAAAATATTTTTGAGATCCTTACGGAGACAAAACAAGGAACATGTATAACATGAATATTGCATAGTTTTGGGGAGAACATTATATACATACTTCGGCCCCATCTGTTTTTACTCTCCTGGGTAAGTTTGTTTACCCGGGCAAGTATTTCCCAGGTAAAATTTGCTCAGGTAATATCTTCTATTGCCATGGGACTCAATATAGTGGCAAATGAACATAAGGATTATGATCAATTTACCAATTGATCAACTTATCCCTGACAAATGAACAGGATAACCGGTCAACAGGACCCATTCTAAAGATTATAATTCGCCCATCTCAGATTGAACCATGGTTGTAGGTTCAAGGGGTCTGTGAACCCAAATCAGATTGCTTCAAAAGCAGCCTGGGTGACAGAACCCAGCATTCCCACCACTCAAATGGAAAAATGAAAACTCAAAAGAGGAAGGAGATGATTTGCAGTTTTCCCTTCAGGCTGTGTTTGGTTGCAATGCAATCTTATTTGCACTAATACAAATACATGGGAGTACAAATGAAAAGAATGCAAATTCTGAATTAATTTTGTTTTACAAACGAAAAGAATGCAAATTCTGAATTAATTTTGTTTTAGATTTTATTTCATTCTGTTTCATGTCTGATCTCCCTTCATTTAAAGTTTTATACTGCAATCAAACAAAATAAGATAAAATTTGAAAAAATAAATAAATCAAAATTTACAGTCAAATCATTTACACTACCACAATTTTGCATCAGTACAAATTTATTTGCACTGCAACCAAACAGTGCCTTGGAATCTATTTGGAAGGAGGACAAATACAAAAATTAGAGTGCAAAACATAGTATTTTTGTATTATTTTATACTGCACATATTTGTATTTTGTATAATTTTATTTTATATGTATTTATACTGCACATATTTGTATTTGCACTCCTTCCAAACTGAGCCTTATGATTAAATCTTAGGACTTATCAGAAAAATAAAAGTGATGGTTTCATTTTCTTTCATCTATCAAAAAAAAAAACCAGTTACGGTTTCATTTTGTCGTCCCTCCGTCATCTCAGTAATAAAGAAAGATCAGCATATTATAATTTATTTTAAGAAACATGTAAACACTAAAAGAATTGAATAAAGACCGTTGAGCCCAATACGATAATAAGACAAAAAGTGATTCCCTATTTTTGCTTCTTGGAGTCTGTCTTTGGCCTCAAAGATATACCTATAACTGAAATCTGACAATCATGATAAATAAAGCAATCTCAATTTCTAGCACGCCTTCCTCGTCCACGGCCACGACCACCACCTCTTCCTCCACGCCCTCCACCTCCCTTCTTACTTGCACCCAACGCCTTGTTAACATCTGACTTCACTTTCATGTTTTCAGGTAATGGGAGTATGTGATCCACGCACTTCCTGAAACTGAAATCGTCCACAGATTCGTCATGCCTGATGAGAAAGAAACACCGGCTTTTCCACATTGGATGGTAGCGGACCTGGAAAGCACCGACACCTCCTCCAAGCTTCTTCTCTGCCTCGGCATGGCCCTTCTTGAGCAAGTCCAGCAACACCATGTGCTCATACTGCAAAACCATTGTTGGGCACAATCAATTAGCACTCGGCACAGATAACAGTCACCATAATATGTGTCAGTCCAATCATATTTTCAGTCTTAGAAGCAAAAAATAAAAATTATAAACAAAAAGCACTTGTTTTAGGCTGCATTTGCATTCTTTATTTTAAGGACTTGCAGTTAAAATGCCCCTTATGAAACTGCCAAATGCAGCCTTAAACACCTTGCTGCTTCATATATTTCAATTGGACTGTCAAATGTCCCAAGACGGTCACTGTTACGTTTTATTTTTGGCCAATAACTAATACACCATGAGCATGCTTCTCCAAATTGGCAAGTTGGTGCATATTACAAGAACTTTAAGGCAAATTATTAGTTAATTGTTTTTTATGCCCATGGACTAGTTAATTGTTTGACAATTTCAACGTCGCCTAAACACAACCACATCCACATACTCTCTACTTTCAAATCGAATTCCTCTCTTTTACTCAATAGTAACGAAATTATGTGTCTAACATGAAATTTTACGTGGGATGTAAATATCAGAAAAATGTTTCTCCCATTTTTTAAGTTTTAACCTACAAGAAAAAAGTGGAAGGCACCAACCTGCAATTACTGATATCTTGCCATGAAGTCCAGTTTCAATTTGCTCTTCAGTGCTTACAGCAATGCTTAGAAAATGGCAGCCATAGTTTTCAAGGCGTCTTGTCGCCTAGGCGCCTAGGCATCACATAGGCAATGGACTTTTTTATATAGAAAATATAGATCCTAGGGTAGTTCCTTAGGTACCATAGCCATATTTCCTTAATAATTTATTCATAATTTTTATAAGAAAAGTATAGAGTTCATTTTAAAGTAAAGAAAATCAACATATTCATGAGAAGGAAAAAAAAAAGAAGAAAAAGAAAATTCAAAAAATATAGGGTCTGAACCCTTATTTTTTGTTATAGGAAAAGAAGAAAAGAAAAAGTAGTAGTAGTAGTAGTAGTGGTAGTAGCAGCAGCAGCAGCAGTAGTAGTATAAAATGTGTTGATTAGACAAAATTTTAAATTCTTTCTTACTTATTGGTTCAGGTTTTAAAGTCTTTGAGGGTTCAATACAGCAATTAGCAATGTTTGTATTGATTAAATCCTAACAAATAAGAAAACAATAAAAACAAATTAGTATATAAACACACAAAATGAGTATTTTAGTTTAATAGTGCCTATKTTATAATTWYAATRTCAAAAAATAAAGAATAAAAAAGTATTTTACAATACATAGTACAAAACTGCTAGGCAATTTAGGGGAGGCGAGCCTCAAAGAGCACCTTGTCGCCTAGGCGTCGCCTTGACAACTATGATGGCAGCAGATAACAATGAAGGCAGTTTCAGTTTCAGCCTTCAGATAATTACAGATTGGACTTCAAGGTCCACCTTGAATTTATATTAGTTTCAAGTCAGTAGCAGTCGGTTCCTAGTGTGAGGCCTTCAGAAACAGGGCAGTCCTCTGAGACACCTGACTCTCATTGTGGGTATGGGCTCATCATATTGTGCAAGATGTTTTTCAATTTTTATCAACACCCTCAGTTTCCACTTCAGTGAAATCCTTTTCCCTAAGGCTGTGTTAGGTTTTAAGGAAAAAGTACGGAAAGGTAGGGAACCCTTTACAAACCTTGTATAGGTTTCCCTACCTTTCCCTACTTTTTTCCTTCAAACCAACCATAGCCTAAATGTTTTTCTTTTATTTATTTATTTCAGAGGGAGAGGTGTTAAAACATTACATAAAATGATAACAAAAAAGAAAAAAGGAAATTGGATTTCTCTGTGATATTGTTTATTAGGTGGGAAAAATGTTTATCCAAGCCAAGGTGTGAAACTCAGCTAAACCAGAACCTAATCCCTATTGACAGAAATAAGGAGCGTGACTTGAATACCCAACTTGAAGATTCAACAAATACTCAATCCGAACCCAACCAAGTTGCACCCTTGTAACAAAGCTACTGGCCCATCTATTGATTTATTCCCACTTCCCAGCTTAATCTTTTTGGGTAATAATCTCATGTTATATATAAGAAGTTGGCATGAAGTACAAAACCCCAGAGACCAAAAAGGAAAAATTAACACAAGGCAGCCCAAAGACGTTAAAACCCCTGTACAAATATGCAATAACACAAGTTCCACCTCTGCAGAGAGTCATAATACAGCTAAAATAATCACAAGGTTCCTCAGCATCAGCAGACTGAGATGATGTATGGGCATCACTTTAGCAACCCCCAAACCCCCCACATTATCCACTACTTATTGGAATTGATACTACATTACAAAGACTTTCCCTAAGCATTTGAAGTCCTGAAAATCATCAGGTATCAAGAGGATACCTCAATGAACACCTCCAGAGTTTACTTGCCACCTAGAATAGATTTTTCAAGAAGATCCACTAGGGAGCAAAATTAAAGGGACTTGTTAAGATCCTTTAAAGAATATCAAACCTTAATGTTAATAAGATCTAGATTGAATCAGGCTTTAAGGTTAAGGCCTTTGATGTAAGGATGAAACCACCTTGAAAGACCTAAAATATCATTTCCAACATCAACCATCTATCTCCTTGAAGAACATATCATCTCATGTGGTTCACTAAATGAGTTAAGACGCATACAAGAGCTCAATAGCTTGAGTGTTGTGCTCAGGTTATAAGTGGATTCCTTTGGGATCTGATGGGTTTGTTGCCTTTGTATACCTCTTGTAAACTCCTTTTCTTTTCTTTTTGAATAAAAGATACCTTACCCTTTTTAAAAAAAAATCTTATGATCTACAGTTTCAATCATGAATTCCAAGGGTTTCGCTTTGAATCTTACACATGAATCATTTTCTTAAGAAATCTTACAATTCATTTTTTGAATCTTATCATTCAATTAACAAATCTGACAATTTAAATGATTCATGTGAACCAAATTTAATTGAGACCTAGTTGTCTACTTTGTTTTCTTTTATTTCTCTTATTTCTTTTCAAGAGGCACTTGTTTTAAAGCTCTTGTTAGAATAAGATTTATTTAGGTTACTTAAGACCTAATCATAAGTAGACTAAAGGAACGTAATCATCTTACATTTTTTTATCAATAGAAAAGTGGCGTAATCATCTTATACTGTAATGTACAAGTGCAAAAGTCTTTTGTTTCGTGTACATTGTACATATATGTACACTTTCAGAAATAGGTATTCTGCAACATCTAATATCTGATAAAGTAGGGCCTGAAAATGGAATGCTTAAAAATTTCCAAATTCATAAATGTGCGGTTCAGCATTTCAGCATTCCAGCAACTCTAGACCTTCTTAAATGCTGGATGGTGGGCGAAGTGCAGGCATTGGGTGATTATTCTACTCATTAAGATTTTACCACATGGCAATAATACCATTGGATTTAAGCCATTTATGAGTTTGGAATCTTTTCTGCATTCCATTTTCAGCACTTATTCCAGCAGCTATCAAGCAGACTTTTAGTCTTGCCATAACAAATAGGTAAATCAATCGCATCAATAGATGCATGCAAGATTCACGAAAGTTGCATGTCAATAATTAAGGGAAAAGGGAATAATTAATGACTAAAAAGATTTTAATTCCCAGAGTGCACAGGGATACAATTGGGTGATCTGGATAGTCAGTTTTTCCCCGTAATTTAGTTGACCATACCACTTGTAAGTTGCAGTATTTCTTTTATGATACTACTTGCAGCATTGACATAGTGATCATAAAATCTATAACCATGTTAAAGCAAAATCGAGAAATGAAGGGAAAGATATACCTCGTTAACGTTGATATTGGGAGGCCAGTAATGGAGTAACTTGTAGAAGTAATTAAACATATCTTCCGATGAGCTGAATTTCTTTGGACCGAGACTCACAGGATCTTCTTTCTTTTCTTCTTCTTTTTCTTGTTCTTCGTCCTTTTCTTTTCCGTCTTCTTTCACTTCATCGTCTTCCTCGCTCTGTTGTAGCTTTTCAAGGCGTTCTTCTTCGACTGACTTCTCGATCTTTTGTTTCTTCGACAACCCGTCCTCTCCGTCTGACTCATCCCCTTCTTCTCTTGGTCGCTTTGAATCGCCATTCGGGGTCCTCGTGGACGATTGATCTCCATTAACTTCTGGTTTCTCGCCTCCGTTCGAATGCTCTTCTTCGGAAATGTTAGGGTTTTGGACGGCTCCTTCAGTTTCCAATTCCATGTCTTCGGTGGCTTTGTCTTCGCCTTCAATGCTCTGGGAGATATGCGCTACTTCCGTCATGTCCGGCCTCTGTGAGAGTGTGAGTACGAGAGCAAGCGAACTAGCAAAAACCCTAAATCTAAAACCTCCTGTAACATATGCAGTTGATGAACGGACTCCTTTTAAGAAGGGAAAAGCAAAATCCTAAGAGCCCGAACCTAACCCGAAGTAGAGCTGTCAACGAATCGGTCTGGTTCGAAACAAATTGAACCGGTTTCGAACCAACTATGTTGACCACTATATCTTGCTGGCCACGTTCACCCAGCTGCAGATATGAGACATCGATTCTACTGTGGTCAGCGGTTCGGGTTTTAATCGGCTTGTTATAGCAAAAAACAGTCCGACACAATTACAATCGAGACGTGCTCAGAAATTATTCGGTTGCATAGCATGGATCGATATGGAGATATCTTAAAATAGAATCCAGTAATGATGCATGGAACCGTTGGATCCCATCTAATTATTCGGGTCTACAATCATATCCCGAATCCAACCCATTTTAGAATGCAAACACTAGGGTCACACAATTCCCTTTCTCTAAAAAAAACGCTAGGATTACACACTTACATATGGTTTTGGATTGACTTGGATGATTCTCATATCCAAATTTTATTTGTTATATTTGAATTCAAATAAAACTAGCCCGAACTTGTGCGATGAAGAGCTTTGTCAAGAGAAACTAAAACATAAATAACCCCATTACATTCTTAATTGGGTCAAGTTGGTCCAAGTCTAACTCAAGTAATAATTATGTCAAAAATTAAATAATTTTTTTCTTTGAGATTATGGGATGATAGAAAAGTAAGACATGTTTTGTTTCTGTTTATATACCAGTCAGTACCCGTATGCACGGGCTTTATTTATAAGCAAACATGAATGACTTTTATTACCATTTATTATTATTATTATTATTATTATTATTATTATTATTATTATTATTATTATTATTATTATTATTATTATTATTATTATTATTATTTTAGTATTTAATTTATTTTTTTGTTATATAGTAATAATATTAAAATAATTTATTTGTAATAATATTAACTAAATTTGTAATTATTTAAATGTTTACTTAAAATAAGTTTTCCAACTCACTATAATTATTATATAATAGATTTTTTAATTCATATTTTGCATTTAAGAATACACATTAATGATTTGGCTTAACAATATTAATGACTGTTAATAAATATTGATTCTTATTTAAGGCTTAATTACTATATTCGGTAATTATTATGGGGCATGTTTTGAATAAACATTAATGATAATTGATTATTGTTATTTCGTTTTTTATTATTTACTTAATTAAGTACTTGATGATTGTTATTATTATTAATTATTTTTATATATAATTCATTGTTATTATTATTTACTTAATTCAGTAATTTTCAGCAAGTAATTATTTGATTTAATTTGAATTATTTCATTCTTTTAATTATTTATAATAGACATTTAGGGTAGTCTATTTATTTGATTTAAGAGACCTACCATGTTTTATCTAGACAATGACCCCATACTAAGTAAGGGGCAATTACAATATCATTTAATTTGAAATTTACTATTTAACAATAAAAAATCAATGTCCGGTTGAGCAACCCACCCCCAAAAAAGTATCAATAACTTTGAAATCATTAATCTATTTATAACAATATCACCAATACTGCTTAATATTTAGGGACATATGAATGGATAAAAAGCATTTAAATGATATCCACTCAAAGAGGCAAAGAAGGAAGAAAATCATTTAATAAGCTACTAAGAAAAACAATCCATGCCAAACAACATTTGCATATGCATCCATCCTCTGAAATAAGAGATGAAAAATATATGACTACAATCAAATCATCATATATGGCTACAATCAACTGATAATATAATCAGGACTCCAAATCCCATCCAATAGAGAAAACATGAAAGAAAGAAGAATAATGGGACCATCCTAAGTATGGAATTCATCTCCAAGTTAGGTGGCAACGCTTCTTTTGGTCGATCGTGGTTACGGATTTTAAGTATAAGCTCCCTATAGTGCGCGTAGACTAGCTAGAATTTATCTTTAGGAAATTGGGAGATAGAAATAGAAAATGTAGGTTGAAATTATAATTTTGGACATATTGATGTGTCAAATTCAAGTCAATTAGAATACTCATAGATTTTTAGATCATTCATTTAGTAGCAATTTGAATATTTTTTTTATTCCATGTCTTTATTGAGTAATATAGATTAATAATTATGAAATCAGTATATAAGTATATTATTATTACTATTATTTACTAATAATGTATTCTTATTATGTCTGTATTGATTTTGAAATCAGTAATATTAGATTATTATTATTATGAAATAATTAATTTGTTATAATTATGATTTTTAGTTAATGCCTAAAATAATAATTGCTTTTGTATTTCTTTTAGTTTAACAATAATGGATAATTGAAAGTTTATAATTTAATTTTAACCAAATGAAATATTTATTAGAGAATATTAATAGTATTAATTATAATTATAATAAAAATAATGTAAATAAATAACAATAATTATATATTTATAAAATAATTAATATGAATTAGTATAAATATAAAATGATTTTATCCTGCCTGATTAATAATTAAGATTATTAAAATACTTATTAATTATCATTAATTAATTAGCATTCCGAAGTAATAATTACCATTGTTATAATTAAGGAATTAATTATCAATAAGTAATTATAATCATTAATTAAATTTTATCAAAAACCATTATTAATAGTAATAATTAATTATAATTATTGATAATAATAATATAATTATATAATTATATTAATTAATATAAGTATTAATTATAATCACTAATAATAATAATATAATTAATCATTTCATATAAATGTATGAATTATAATTTTTTATAATAATTCTAATATAAATATTTAACATTAACTATTTATTTTCAAAATAATTAATATGAGTTAATATAAATATAAAATGATTATTTTTGAATTATTAATTACCATTATGAAAATCATTATTATTTACCATTATGAATTAATAATGAGAAAATTTATGTACAAAATTTCTTAAGTATTCGCGACGGATGAGCTCCTCTATCTCGTCGCGGAGGTTTTTACAATTTTCGATGCTATGACCATGATCTTTATGGAAATTACAATACAAATTCTTATTTCTTACACTAGGATCCGCCTTCAGCCGAGGTGGCCACTTCACATACAGGGCGTCCTTGATCGCCACAAGGATATCGGCCCGCTTTGCGTTCAGGGGCGTGTAGTTCGTCCTTTCTGCTGCTGGAGCTCGGAAAGGCTGACCTGGCATTGCCCCCCGAGCTTGGTCCTTCTTCTTCTTGCTATCACCCTGAGTTGAGGACTATGTTTCCCTTTTTCTTTTCTCAAGTGTCTTTTCACCTTTCTGGTTGATCTCCTCCTCTGTCCCTATAAACTGATCTGCGAGCTTGAGGAACTCGATCACAGTTTGGGCTGATTAACAACCACATGCCACTTGAACTCTTTGTGCGTGATGCCCCTCTTGGCCGCAGTGAATTGAACTACAGGGTCCAAGTTGGGTATCTACAGACAAGCATCATTGAACTGCTTGATATAACTCCAGATGGACTATCCTTCCCTTTGGACTATGCCAAGGAGGCTCTCCTGGGTTCTAGGGCACCGCTTGCTGGTGACAAAATGAGAAGTGAAGACTTGCACGAACTGCACCCAGCTTCTTATTGATCCGGATGCAAGGTTCTAGTACCATGTGCGGGCCACCCCCTTGAATGTGGTGGAGAAAGCCACGCACATGCAGGACTCACTGGCCCTCGCCAAGTGCATCTGGGACTGGAAAGCGTCAACATGGTCATTCGGATCGAAGGATCCGTCATACTTATCCAACGAGGGAACTTTAAAGTCCTTGGGCATAGGAACAACAAGGAGTTCTGGAAATAGGGGGACGGAACTGAGAGAAGCGGAGTAGCTTTTACTTCACTCGATCTTACCTCTTCCTTACCCTTGAGCTCGGGCAGGTCGTGAGTGGCAGCCCGGCGAGCTCAGCGGTGCCTCCACTGCTTCTTTGCTGGCTCGACGTTAGTACTGCTGGCCTCTGTGTTACCGAGCTCGATGGGCCCAGGGAGGGGCTCGGACTACTGCCGGTAGTTGCAAACTGAGGGGTCTTGCTTGAAATCCGCGGCCAGTACCTTGAATTGGTTTTCGGCGAGCGGGAGCTCGAATTGCAAATGCTGAGGCGATGCGGGCCTAACTAGCTGAGAGGCCCCCGACCTAACTGCAGACTACGAGGTAGGGGTAGCTGGTCTCTCCTTCCTGCCGTGAGACAATGCCGAGGTCTCTCCCCAGCGAGAAGGACGTTTGTTCTAACGGCGAGGCTTGGCTTGTTGCGTGGCCAGATGCCGAGGAGGAAGCAGCTGTTGGGCCTGAGGCAGTGGAGGAAACTGCTGTTGATACTGATACTAGGAAACTTGATGCAACACTTGTTGTTGATAGAGTTGAAACTGTTGGAACTGTTGCATTTGAGCTTGCATAGCTCGCATGCATTGCACCAGGTCTTCAAGCTAGTTTTGGCTGGTCACCGGAGGAACGATGGAGGGTTTAGTGAAGGTTGTTCCATTCGTGGAAGGAAGTGGAGCGTTCACAAGTGCCACTGTCTGAGGCACATTCAGGCTGGGAACTCCGTCCATAGAGAGGGGGACGGTGAACTGTCCAATGCAAACAGTGGGAGGCTGAGGTCGCTCCTCAGAGGCGTTTTGGTCGGCACCTCGTCCGGCATCGCTGGAGGAAGCCATGGATGCTGAGTTCTGAGAGTTGCAGAGATTGGAGAAAGGCTTTTTGAAGCATTCCCACAGACGGCGCCAAATGATGCAGCGCGATCCAGACACTCCTAGCTGGCGGAAACTTGGCTCCTAGCTAGCGACAACGGTACCTGAGAAGAAGAGAGAGGTGAAGAATTCCCGGGAGCTCGCCTGGTGGGAACACTCCAATGCTTAAGTTAGAACTTTGAGAGAACCGTAGAGAATGCAAAGAGAGAGCTAAGAGTGCAGATGGCGCAAGTTCAGTACTTTTGCTCCTTGGGGATCGGGGTCCTTGTATATTGGAATTCTGTCAAATCAGG